GTAGATCAAAGGGCTTCCTTACAAGCAAAAGGAAACTCTACAGGCTGAAACCCTTAGTGTTTGAACGCGTAAGCTGTTCATAGCTCGGCAGTGACTATCTTTGCTTCATTCTGTTCGTGGGGCTTCATGTAACGCAGACTGAAGATTGCTTGAGCATGAGACTGCAGGCTGCACAAAGTAGTGCGCTGTGCCCTCATTCAGGTTCCTCGTATTAATTAGATGTACTAATTAATAAGTAGTGCGCCTGCTAAGGAAGCCCATTAACTGTGCGACTTCAGCGAAAGTCTTACACTAGGGAGACGATAGATGTGAGGAACTCATGCGCCTCGAGCTGTTCGAGAGGTAGAAAGTTCTGCAAGCACACAGAAGGGAAGCAGTAAGCAAATGCATTGAATTAGATTTACTAATCGTATAGTTACCTGGAAACAGAATAGCATCTTGCATATATTTCCGTACTGCGTGAGGCCTTAGAAACGAATTGCGCGGAAAGCCAAAATATTCGTATGTATATTGATGCATAGGATATACAGAAGCACGTCACAAACACCCCACAAACCAGCGCATACAGCCCATTAACACTGACATAAAGAGACTCCCTTGGTTTCAGCTTAGGCCCCGGCCCCTTCTCATACTGCTTCTGTGCCCGGCAGGGTGTATGCATGTGCATTGTCTTTGCATCCGCCTTGCACGAGCGTCCCCGTAGCATCGCTGAGTTTCATTCACTTTTTGCCTACCGCTTTGAAGTGCAGCGTGAGGCCCGGAAGGTCCAGCAGAAACAGACAGTTCCCCAGCCCCAAAGCTGCCTTAGGGGAGATATACTCAGGGGTGGGGGCCCTCCTTTGAGTCTCTGGGGGGCTAGTTTGCCTTTGGTTGCTGGCGACCTCTTCCCGATAAAAGAAACGAGGGGAACCCTCAGGGCAGCGACGGGCGCTAGAATGGGGATCAAAGGAGTGGGATGTAACTGCGGTTGAACGCAGTTGCTGCTGTTCGTCTGACCTCCATCCTGCACGTGCAGTTGCTTCACAAGATGAAAGTGTTCGGGAATCATTCCCAGCTGACCCCGCGTTCCCCTCTTCCGCCGAGGTACACTCTGCGCCTCCGCGCTGGCTCTCGCCTGAAGCCCCCATTGGCTCCTTACAAACTGCACGAAGGGCCCCCAGCTCGTCTAAGGGCTGTTCTGCTGCCTGCAACAACTGTGTAGCTGCTGCTGAACCCCCCAAATTAGCATGGCAGCGGTTGGGCGCCTGATGTGCGCTGCTGCTGCTGCTTGCACCCAAGTCACAGCATGCTATATCCACTCGTCTGCCTGGAGAGACCGACGCACCGCGCCGTCTGAGGCCCCCCAACCTCTCAGTGCCCCTACGGAGGTGGCAGAGGGCCCCCCTGGCTCCCTTCGCTACACCCGCAAGGCACAGGCGGCCGCAGCGGAGCAGCAGACGCTCGAGAGAGGCAAATGGGATACAAGTAGATGGCATCAAAGGGTCGAAGGAGTCGCCAAAGAGGCAACCCAATAGACACCGCAGCTGGAGCAAAAACGGCAACGCCCCCACAGTGATAGACACCGTAAAGCCCGCACAGATCAACAAAGGAGCCGGCAGCACCAATGCATGCAAAAGAAATAATAACTGAAGGAAACTGCAGAAACGCGAAGCTGCAGAAAGCGTGAAGTGTGCCAAAGTGCAAAAAGGAGTGGGAGAGAACTGACTGCCCATGGGCCCGCTGCTGCTGGGTACAGGGTTCACGGCCTTGAGGTGGCAGTACACCCCAAACTCTGCGGACACCAGCAGAACTGTCGAAAGCGCCACAAAAATGAATTCCCCTGGCCCCGGCAACAGAGTGTCTGCATGCAGTGAAACGATGCGGCGAACTAGCAATGCTGTTGCCCCCCAGAAGGTAAAGAAGTAACACCAAGCAAAGAGCAGAACCGCACGAGCAGAAGGAGGGCTTAGGCGAGTAGTGAGGGGAGGCAGATCGTCAACGGAGCCGTCCAGGCCCAACTCCACCACTTCGGCATGCGACAATACGTCGTGCAGCAGCGACCGCCGCGTGCCAGCAGCAGCAACAGCAGACATCCTGCTGACCCCTCATGATACGCTGAGATAACCCAAGGGAGAGAACGGCACGTCGACCGCCTGCTGCCCTCGGTAGGTCCCAGAGTGCTGTTGCTGCTGCAACCTCACGCACTGCAAAACTACCCCGTAAGGCACCCCTGAGTTAGTCTCAACATGCAGCAGTCAATGGGGCCTAGATCTTCTATTTCCATTTACATATAGCTGCAACAGCTAATCGCTACATCAAATAGCCTTTTGAGGAGAAATGAACGACGCCGTGGCTGCAAGGAAAAACGGTCCAGGCCGGACAACGGACCTGGTAGTCCTGCAGCAGCTGCTGTGCCCACTATTAATGGAAGAGTACAAAAGGCAATGCGCAATTTAAAAACAAGGAAGAAAGAAAAGAAGAGAAGCAGACCGTGTCGCGAACGGCCGCCAAGTGTACGTACGCGTCGATGAGTTATGCTGCATGCTGACCCAGGGAGGGCCCGGTGGTCGGGCAGCAGGCGGAGGGGAATAAGGCTAATAGAAGACTTCACAGGAATAACTAACCAATACGTGAGAATCATAAAAAGCGAGTTCTGTACATTTCAAAAACTCTAGTTCTTCGCGGGATAACATCGCTGACTTGGCGGAGGGAACGTCAACGCGTATTATCTGCGATGGGGTGGCAGACAATAGTTAAATTTCCTCAGAAGACATTTATTAGTACAGTAAAACAATTTACTTCTATGCGAAGAAGTGTAATAACACCCCAATTACATGGCTTGCCAAGTACCGTTCTCTAGCGTTTGGGCTCTGCATTTCACCTTCTGCTCCGTATTAACGGTCGCCTGCGGTTTGCTGCAATTTTCAGGCAGCCGGACTGCACATGAACAGGAGACAGAGGGAAATTAGTGTGGGCGAGAGACAACTGTGGGGGTGGCTTGCTGCTGACTGCTCGTCGGGGCAGCCAACTGCCCGTTGCTACAATGCCTGTATGTAGCATAGTCTATCCGAAGTCAGAGAGTATAGGGCGTACAAGCTGTCTAATGAGGGCAAACAAACTTGGAAGAATTCTCTGCAATGTTAGTGCGTCCATCAAAGGGGCCTGGATTCACTTTGCATGTGGGGCTGCCTTGCATCAAGAGTAGACGCAAGGTGCAGCGCAACTCATTACAGGGCCGCCCTTCTCCACAGCTGCCCTAGGCCCTCGTGCCGCCGTGCCCCGGAGGTCTGGAGAATGGATGGGAGGTCAACTGTGGTGGGGGGACTCTCTGCTTCATTCTTTTGACACTATAGCAGCTCACGACGGTCCTCTACCAAGATCGAGGACCCTGCACAGCATATATGTGCGTGCATATACTTTTGTATACATGCATGTAGCAGTACTTACGATGATGACTTTCAGTAGAGGTGCACTGCAGTAATTGCAAAAACAAGTGCACCTCCTTCCACTGCTTAGGTGTCATGGGCGCAAGAACGTAAGCGCCTGCTGAAGGGGAAGAGCGGGCGACCAGTTGTTTGCTGCTATTTTTGCCAGGCAACGTCGTACGCACGCACAACCACACCCACTTTTCTGAAGTACTAAAAATGTAGGCAATTGTTAATAACTTGCTTGGCGCTTATTGGGCAGTCTACAAGCACGTAGAGATGTATATGTATGTAACGTCGGAAGGACCATCCTACGAAGAGCACGGCAAAGCTTTAAGACTTGCAGATATGTCCGTGTGTGTGGTGGCAATTCATTCCATTCCCCTTATCGCAGAAGATACAGATGCTGTCCAGACCCCTGACAGCGTAAACACCGACTCTGCGTAGCCGCAGAGACTCCGTCAATGAAGAACAGGGTACGTTTCACCTCTTCGCTAGCGTCCAACTTCAGATCCACTTCGCAGCTTGTACAGAGCGGCGCTAGCATTAATACGAACCCCCATGAGCACAGAATTGACTCTCATCGGCTCTTCTCGAGGGGCTGCCACCTCGCCTGTCCCCCCCATCGCGGCGTACGTTAAGGGGAGGCGAGTGCATTTCCCTGAATGCATTGCTTGTTCCCATGGAGACATTTTCCCCCAAGGCAATTCATCTGCAGATCCTCTGCTATCACCATGACCTTGCAATCTCGAATGTGACGTTGTTTACTGTAAGGCAGTGCATGCATTTCTCAACACGTCCCTCCCTGCTTCCCGAGTACCAGGCTCGCCGAGTGCTGTCTATTTCCGCTTCTATTATATTTTGTTCGGCATGGGCTGCCTTCACAACCTCCCAATTCCATTGTTTCCATGTCTGGGTTATTTTCTAGGCATTTTCTTCCTTCTTATTTTGGGATTGTTGTCCTTCCGTGGGCGCTAAGCACTCCATCACCTCGGCCAGTTTCCCCCGTTTCATTTCGTAGTTCTCTGTCCGTGCCCCGCTCAGTTGCAGTGCGCCTCCCTCCAGGACGCCGCCCTACGATGAACCGTTGGCACGGACGCTTCGAATCCACCCTTCGAAGTACCAGGCAATTGTCTTGTTCTTTTGCGAGTCGTTGGCTTGCTGATAGAGCACCCCTAGTTCTGGGTCCGCAGCCGTGCCGGTTACCGATCTAGTGGGGACGGCCCAGCAATGATCCACTGGTAGAGGAGTTTCAAATCCAACGTTGTGTTCACGAAGGAATGATGCTTCTTAATTGTGCGCGCGGTATATACGTTCGCTTAGTTAAGTTTCGTCATTTCTGTCATAGCCTGCTCCTGTTGCCGACTTGGAAAAAAAACGTGCATCTCAGCGAATCTCGATACACTCCCATATTGTCTATGCTTGAGAAGAGAGGTACGTTCTGTAGAAGTATCAACAGTTCTCATGCCTCCTCTTCTAATGACGAAGATGCCAATAGCAACTGTAGCTTTTTGAAGGCACTTCAGAGGTGGAAATACAACTAGGAGTAAGGAAGCCCTCCACTGCGCCAGCATCGCGGCGTCCGCCATATCTGGACAATCGGCAAAGGCGGAGGCACTCTCTGAGTGAGTGGCTTGCTGTACACACATTTTCCGCTAGACGGCAAGGAGATACTGAGCTGGTGTCAACGAGCTAACCATTGAACGCCTACCGCGAGAGAGTACATCCTGATCAACCTTCATGATGCTAGAGGGAACAGGGCGGGCGTTTCGAGAAGGATTTTCATGCTTTTTGTACTTTTGAAGCACCTTCGGCACTAGTCATTTCTATGCATTAGGCCGCCCTGTTGACTGGGTAGTTTTCGCTGCTCACACCTGCCCCGATTACCGTGCGGTGCTAGTAATTGTAACGAAAGTCAGCGATTTTGGCGGAGGACCGTAGTGAGCTGCAATGGAGGCAGAAGGGCTAATGTACGAGTCCTAAAGAAGCACCCACTCTCCTCCCCAGAATTCTGGCTGCAGCGGCCCAACGGCCTGGGGACAGCTTAGAGTAGGCGGTTTTACATAAAGTGCATGTAACTAGTGTTTCCTTGCAATTCTGCATGCATGCGCAACCAAGCGCCATATCCTGTATGCACTAGCACTGCAGACAACAGTTCATTGTTTGCAGGCTGACTACTAAGGCCAAGTAAGCGTTCCTGTAACAACTTCTAACAGAGGATGCTACAGAACCTGCAACATTCTACAGACCATGTTGCATCACTCCTCCGCAACCCCGGAAACAAGAGGTTAATATGGTTACCACCGGGGGGAACCGAAGTAATTCAAGTTTATTTCGACAAGGCCTTTATTTAAAATGCCACTTAGTTGAAAATACATCTTGTCCAGTGGTGGTGTTTATCCGAAAACCCGTTGCAGGCTGTGGGCTGCAGCAGAGTGACTCTCAGCAGTTCGGCGCGGAAAGGCAACATCAGCGGAAAATGAGCTGTACCAACTTTTAAAGCGGAAGTCCATGTAAATAAGATGGGGCAAATAAGTTGTTGACTTAAAATGAGTTTAAAATGTAGCTGCACCGTCCTCACAACCCTGCTGCAGCGTTGGTAGCTGACGGGCCAGTGGGTTGTTGAGATCAGCTGCAGGAAACGGGAGAGAGGCGCGGGGCGCGTTCTTTCGGCAAAAGTTAACAAGACGAGTCCTTACACGGGTGGAAAACACACAAGAATTGATTTGTGATTTGGAGGTGGGCTTTAAAGTAGGCACGAGAGGGCTGGGCAACTCGTCGCTGCTGCTGGCAGTAGCTGCGGCGTGCTGTATATGATCACAGACGTTTGTTATGTACTAGAGCCCGGGGCTGTTTGGTAACTGCAGTGTCTCTCATTTCTTGCATTTGAAACGATGCAAATTGGTCTTCCAAGACGAGGAGAAGGCGTCACACAGCTTTAACGGCTTTTACAGGAGTTCATCCGCAGCCTTGTGTGGGACTGCCAGAGAGCTGATCGCGGCTCTGCCTGCTGCTACCCCTCTGTCGCCTCCCGCAATTTGGCGGTCAATTTCCAGGCCAGCTGTCGGTGGATCGGCTTCTCGTTGTTTGTCTGTTGAATTCTAAAGGCGAAAGAACACCTGTAGGGCCGCTAAGGAGCCACCAGCTGCGGCACAGAGCAGCCTCTTTCTCCGCCGTTGGCGCCCGACCGCATGGGCAACGGCACTTGAATGGGGCACCGTTGTTCTGCACGTTAAGAGAGCTGTCTTCGACGGGTCTATGTTTTTCAGCTCGTCTATTCACAGCCTCCCAAATCCCATTCACCTCACAGACGCCCGCCCAACGCAGATCGCCTCGCTTTCCGTTCAGGCCTCAGCGGCTCCCGAAGGTCCCTATACACCCGCCCCCCACCCCCACCCGCCTG